TTTTAACCAACTGGATGGCAACGTGGACCGGAGAAGCTACGAAGGTGTCTACGAACTCGATTCTAATGGTCGTCCTCTGAATCCACGCGGTCGTACCGGCGTGGTTGGTCGTGGTCGCTTGGGACGGTGGGGTCCGAACCACGCTGCGGATCCTATTGTTACAAGGCACAGGCTACCTTTTTGTAGAAATCCGTCTTTTTAAAATAACGAGGTCTTCACTTTCATCATGATTTAGGTGGAAAGTTGACGATACTGGAGCCAAAGTTATTGAGTCGCATAGTGGGAAACCGATTCTGCAGTTTGTTGCTATCAAGCGGAAAGATAGTGGGGAATGGGCTTTACCTGGTGTAAGGACTTTTTTATTGCATGGTTTGTAAGAATTGCTGTCCTAAACTTTCATTTATTTTCTTCATGTTCATTTTACAAACAATTAACTCGCCTATTTTGGTGTTATTGAAGTCACATGTTCTTTTAGGGTATGGTTGATCCAGGAGAGGAGGTCTCTGCTACTTTGAAGCGTGAATTTTCAGAAGAAGCCATGGGGCTACTGGATGTCTCTGACAAGGAAAAAGAAAGGCTTCGTTCTGAAGTCAACAAGGCCTTTAATGAAGGTTATGAGGTTGTTCCTGTGCAAGCTTACCTATGATGTTTTCCCAGGTGAATGTGAAAATAATGTTCTTTATTTATTGACAGATTTACCGAGGATATGTAGATGATCCAAGAAATACAGACAATGCGTGGATGGAGACCGTCGCTGTAAACTTTCATGATGAAAATAGAACTGGCCTCGCCTTGTTCAAATTGTCAGCAGGTTAGAATAGCTGAAGTATTACACTTCTATCAACCAAACACCTTTGACGTGTGTGCAGTTAATTGGTTGTTGCAAGATAAGACGCTAAGTAGTTTGCAACGGCTCAGAACGTTGTGCTTTTATAGGTAGGCTACACTTTTCGATTGTAACTGGTCTAATTTGACTCCTCAAAATTTTCGTTCTTTCCTCTTTTAAGGCGATGATGCAGCTGCAGTGCGGTGGGTTGATGCAGATCCTAACCAAGACCTCTACGCCAGCCATCACCATTTTCTTGAGCTGACAGCTAAATTGCGCAATGCTTTTTGGGACGTTTAAGAAGAAGCTAATCGATACTTCCCCAGAGGAGCGATTTTTCTTTGATGCTACTGTTTTCGTTTTGACGATAAGTACTTGTCTTTACCGGTAATATTTGAAAATTTCGGCATTTTCCCACTGAATTGGCAGTCCATGATAATGTTGCTACTATGGCAAAGTCTGGCAAAATACTGTTAAGGTTTTTAAATGGTTAAATTATGTGGATTAAATCACTTGAAGTAGCTGTTTTGTGTGACAGCGCTCCGAACAATACCAAGTTCTGTTGTCGTTGAACCAACACTGTTTTCGCCTACTTTGGCTTTTACTATCTCAGCAAAGAATTCAGACGCTACAATGTCAGCAACACTAGGCGAACTTGATCCAGCAGGACAATCACTCTGAATTCTCTGAGTAAATACGTTTGAAAGAAAGGTGTCCACGGTGGAGACCTGAATCAGAGTGCGTTCTTACTTAACGTTAAATTTGTTTTCCTCTAATCAGCCATCCAAAGCAATGCAATGCCTCATAAATCCCAACAGTGCGTATTTAGAAAGGCCAAATTTTGTTACTCTTGTCCCGGAAGTGTGCGTCCTATCAGCGTAAAATGCTCACTAGTTGGGCCTCCAATAAATCACCATGTTGGCATATCACTGACTGCTTGATATGAGCTCTTGGAATTAAAGTACAAACCAATTCCTCGCCTTGCCGCATTTGACCCAGAAATCGTGTACACCTACAACCAACTATCACGGCCTAACTCCTCTCCCGCCTTTCCCATTATCTATGAAACGTCCTGTTAAAACAAACACGTGTTTTTTGAAACCTAATTTTAGGATTATTGGCATTTTTAGCTTGCCAATTGCTAATAAGCCACTGCTACTCCATGACCTAGGTTTCAAGATTTTCAAGCTATAAATTCCCGTGAAAAACACAAAAGTATGGAGCCATTTTATTGTAATTTAATTAAGAGGTGGAATTATTTGCACAAGTCTGTTGCGATGATGACGGCAATGCTTCCGAACTGGTGTTGTGATTTGGAAGTGTAGAGCTGCAGAAAAGGATTTTCGACTGATACATCGTCTCTTCTGCTTCGTTTGTAAGAATTTGAAGTCAGTGAACTTTATACCGTTAGGTGAGTACAGCAAAATCGCTTCACCAGAGGTTTCACAGGGTTGGAGGCCGTGAATGGAAAGTTGGGGGACTCGTTCGTGTACGCAAAATCCTGGTGACGAGTCAGGTGAAGAATGTTATTACAGAGGTTACGCATGAACCAAAAATCCTCATGTTTGCGTGGACAACTTCGTTCATCGTTTGCAATCATCGGCTGAGTATTCTAACCCACCATCAACGCATTAAACTTGCGTTTAAGTAGTCTGACAACTTTTGCATAGCATCAGTCTCTTTGTTTTTGCCATTGAAAGTTTCAAACTGTTAACTTTGGTTTAGCCACTTTCATAAAAACGCAAATCCAAGGCCACACAGACTATGCGGAGGTAAGGAGGACGGAAAATCTAATTTGCCGTTTGCTTTGTCTTGACTTTATTATTAAGAGAGTAATTTAAAGTAGCTTTTACCGTACATGTTAACTTGTGCTTTACGCAGCTCCTTAATTTGTCGGTCAATT